TTAAATGCTCGCGTAATGAAAAGGAAAAAGTTTACTTGCATTTTTATAAATGAACTGCTGTGATTGTAACTGCGCTTAATGTCATAATCAATGTCAACAATACTGGTACGTAACGGGCTGTTACATACTGTATCTCTGGCCAATAGATAGTTGTCGTATGTCGTAGGGGACTTCTACTAAAGAAGCCTCCATAGGGAGTTCCAGTTGGTCTGAGGCCATAGAGTGGTGATCCGTTGAGGAGCACTCTAGAAATATCTCGGGAGTTATAGTTGTGGGTGCCTTGAATTATATCTTGGAGATACATTCTTGGATGAGGACTCGATTGATATGCCATATGTCGTAGGCCATTGGGCCATGTGATTTGTATGTTTTATAGTTATATTATTGCCATTATACATCTGAGTGAGCCATTGTGCGGAGTGATCCTCCAGAACTTTTGGGTTATTGAGATATATTCGTATATCTCACCCCGCGTTATGGGGTTATGTTTCAGGTGAATGTAACGGTGTCGGAGTTTTGGGTAAGAGGCCCACTGGTTGATGATGAGGAGAGCATGTTGGATTGCATGATGATAGCCTGCCATTTTACATTTTGGGATTTATTTGATAGGCTAGACTTGAACATGAACATATTGTATTGCATGAGTGATATATACCATGCTTTTGTTGTTCATGTTGTATTTTGGCTAAGTCTAGTGGTTATGTAATTATTGTCATTTGGAGCATTTTGATTAGTAGTTATATTGTAATGGATTAATGTAATTGAAGCACTATGGATCTTGTGTAAAGTAATGATGAGTGTATGTGATGGAAGAGCAATAGGCCTGTTCTAGGTTATGATGTTATTCAATTTGATAAATGCATATAATTGAATCATGTGATTGAAATGAGTATTAAGTGGTATAATGGTTACTAAGTTGTCAAATGATTAGTGATGGATTGTGAATTAAATAAGAAATTATGCAAATGTGTTGTGGGTTGTAAGAGCACCAAGATATGTTGAACCTTGTGTGTCACCCTTGTTAATTAGGTACAATTTGATGGTTTAGAACACATTTTGATAAAGTGGGATTAGTTAATAAAATAAAAGAGATGTCGTCGAATTTTCTAAGAAATGATCAGTTTTTAGGCCAACATTGGGAGACCATATTTCCTTCCACAGATGTCCAAATAGGACATGCCATACATCATTTTAAATCTTAGGATGTAAGCTATATTTTCCAAAAATTTGGTGCCATTTAGATTTTTATAGCATTCTCTAGGTTGAAGGGAGTAAGCACTGCCCAAACTGGACCTGTGCAAGGGTTGTCTCAGGTCCCTTCTTTAAAAAATTGTATCTCCCTCAATTCTTACTCAAATTACGCTTATGATATATCAAATTGAAGATAAAGGTGTATATTATTTTCTATAAAATTTTGAGAGTATTTGGTTGAGTAAAACGCTGAAAATATCAAAAATGGTGAGGGATGTTTGGTGCTCTGTTCGGAGTTGATTGACAGCTTTACTTATCCAACTTCAAACGGTGATAACCAGAGCTAGAGAACTCTAAATGAGACATGTGATACCTTATTGGAAAGGTGAAAGATTCTAGTTTATCATACTAAAAGATGGGAAATTATTGACGAGTGGTTCACGCCCAGTTGTGTAAAAATAGAAGGGGACTCTGTTTTTGGAAAATGGTAAAAAAAAATGAATTTTATGCTAAGTTAGTTTATGGGAACCTCTTAGCAACTCAAAATAAGTATTATATGATAGTTAGGCAAGTAGAATGTTATTTCTGCATTTAGATTTTAGTTGTGATCACAGTTTGTATCATTACATTTTATGTTTGTTTTCAATGGCATACGTAATGAAAAAAAAATTACTCGTATTTTTAAATAAACTATTGTAATTGTAACTGCGCTTAATATCATAATCAATGTTAACAATACTAGTGTACAATGGGCTGTTACATTTTATGGTATCATAGTAGTTTACTAGGGAACTCTGATTATTGTATGATTGTGTTATGTGTTGTGTAGTTGTCTGACACTTTTTATGATTATTGTATATGTGATTCATCAGTGTGTGTCTGATTAGCTCATTCCTTTATGTCACATGTACAGTTATCATGAGGATACTTCGGGGAAACCGTGTGGCACGTAATGCAGATCCGCCACCGCTTGATCCTGATACTGCAGTGTTAAATGCTATGCAGACGGAAACGATAGCTAATAGGACAATGATTTAAAATTTGTTGATAGGAAACCAAGATATGATGCAAAATTTTATGACTGAGATGAGGGCTGAGAGAGTTGCTCATAGAAGGGTTAATTTTCCTCCTCACACGGCTACGGTAACTCCTACACCTACGCCTTATGTTACTCACCAGCAAGGGAGAATGGAGCTAATCATCACACTGGTGAGGCTAGTCAGTGTACTATTGCTATTGAGCCTACTGTTATGGTTGAGCCTTTGTTATTGCTAAGCAGTATGATGAGAGTGCTGCGGAGGAGAGGAGATTGATTTCTTTTCGTAAACCCAAGCCTCCTACTTTTCTAGGGTCTAAAGACCTGAAAGTTGTCACTACTTGGTTGCAGGATATGGATAAATACTACACAACAAAAACATATTATAAAAAAGTTTACATTGTTTTGTGTAGTATTTACACGTATCAAACAATATACAATACGGAATTGCTTGTGTTGTGCACCGATTTCCGATAGATCTCAATTTAGGAGATCTATCGGAATTTAATTCTTAGTCAATTCCCCTGTTTAATATCCATGTTTGAGTAAATTTGTATTAGTGAAACCTAATTTGACACTTTTCAATAACTTTTGGGTTGGAGGGAACAACACTGTCAATTGAGTTATTTTGGAGCATATTATTGCTAAACTTAAAAGGTTAAATTGGGCTTTTAATTTGTTCATTTTCACATTTTGCAAGAAAATACAAAAAAGAAAGAATTAAAAAGCAAGAAAAAAGGCCAACCAAACCTGCCCACTAAAAAGAAAAAGAAAAAGCCTATAAAAGGGACCACACAAAAAGAAGGACCAGAAAAAAGACAAGGTATTTTTTGCATTTTGGCCAGGCCGGTGGAGAGAGAAAATTGTTAGAAGTGGGATGTACAAATGTGAGGTGAAGTAGTGAAAAAGCGAGAAAAAGCAAGGAAAAGGGATGTAGTAACCTGAAAGGGTGTCGAGGGTCCAGTTTAGATCAATTCTGGGTAAAAAATCCAATCGATCCAAACATTTGGAAACCTAAAGGAAAAGAGAGGGAAATCACCTCGAACACTTAGGATTGCAATGGCTGTTGTGCTCTTGCAAAGGATATTCTTACATGCTACGTTGCACCGACACGAGACACGACACGACACGACACGACACTCCAACACGTTAATTTTAAAAATGTTAAATTTCGATACGTTAGGGCACGTTTTGATATTATATAATATTTTTAATTTATATAGTGTATATTATATTTAATATTCAATAATTTAATAAAAAAATAAAGCTAAACTTATATTACCCATCAATTTTGCAAAGAAACATAAGATATCCCAAATGTTTATATTAAATTTAATATAACGAATCTAATAATTTGAACTCAAAATGCAACGCAACATAACTTTTGAATCTTTTTTGAGTCTTTGCAACGAGTATTGGAATGTCGGGAAGTGTCAGAGTGTCAGTGAGTGTCGAAAAGTGTCGGACACGATACGTCAGAAATTTTGAAATGTCGATGTTTCGTAGCTTACATGTACGCGAAAAGCAACACCTCTATATGCAGACCCAAAGTGAAGAGTTTAAATTTTATTTAAAATCCATATTGTCAACATAAAAACTAACATAAACTTTTTATTAATATTATTTTAACTGAATTGGGTAGTGAAATACTGAATTTCAATTTAGGTTTAATCAACTATTCAAATCAGATGATGTCTTAAAAATTAATCACCATGTAATAATATAAAATGGATTTAGTATTTCAGTTTTTGCTGCATAAATTTTTTCTCAACCACACTCACATAAAAGGTAATAGGCAATCCATTAATTTTTATGTGAATGTGGCACAGAAAATTCTGCAAATATTTTTTTCATATAAAATGAGATTAATATTTTTTATATTATAAAAGATAAATTTTATCTCCACATAAAAGTGTGCAGAACACATTTTTGTTTCTTTCTTCTTCTCACATGATCTCACATATTTATATATATATATATAAAAGATAAATTTATCTTTTACAATATGAAAAATATTAAACTCATAACATATATAAACGCTTATGAAGTATTAAGAAATGTATTTCTCGATCCGATAGGTTAAACCAAACTTTCACAAACTATGGGCTTGTTTGAAATCAATTTTTAAAAATATTTTTTGACTTTAAGGAAAAAAAAATCATTTGATAAAACCTGTTTTGTAAAAAAAAAAATTAAAAACTATAACTACTTTTTAATTTTAAAATCAAATTTAGATAACATTCTTTTTATTTTTTGTTTTGACTTTTAACTTTCTAAACATAAAAAAACAACTATTTTACAAAATAGTTTCAAGAATACAAAAATCAGAGCACAATCAAACAAGTCCTATATCCTTTTCTAAGATTTCCTTATCTATATGCTTTGGATATATTTTATGATCGTTTTTCTGCCTGATTGTTCTCTCTTCATTGATTGATCATTAACCAAATCAATGCTCATGTTCTTCAAAATTTTGTATTAATTACTCAATTTCAATCGAAAAACACTTTGATAGTTGACATTATTCAATACTGCAATATATGTATTATCTCAGCAATAGCAATTCACATGTTTTCTCAGCAAATGAATAGGATGAAATTCGGGGTGACAATGCTGTCACAATCTTATATCAAGAAATTGCCACCTTTCTTGCTCTACAAGAATAGAATGAGAATGTTTGAGATATCCTATTCCCATTGTTTCTAACACCCAGCCCCTCCCCTACTGCCATTCTGCAGTTGTTTTTCACTTTGCCCACATACAAGTATGGATACGCATGATATATTGGCAAATCATACAGCTGTTACTATTGTAATGCGAGCATTTGAGGTTCGTTTACGTTTTGAGCCCCAACAGAGGTCTACCTTACCAATTTTCTTTTTCGTCCCTAGAAAGCCTTGACAATTTGGAGCACCACAGTGGCATTTCACCTCTGGACCAAATTGCACAAATCTACACACCCAAAATACCAGACAACGTTAATCTCCATTATCAAAAGTCACTGAAGAAATCCAGCAATGTAAAAAATCATAAATCAGATCATATGCATTTTTTTTCAAAAGAGAATGAGTATTTACTGTCCGCTTCAAAATGAAGCAGTGGTTGTATCCTCCCAAAAAGTACTCAATCCAAACTCATCAACATGATGCGCGTAAACATAAAATGAATCTATAATTTGATGTTTCCTGCAGTGCTAGCCTTTTGCATGAATGTTCATTGTAATGCTGTAGAAATTCTTGTAAGCCAGGAAGGAATATCTTTGTGGAGGAGCATATCTATCATGAGATAGGATATTATGCCTATCTTTTTCTCATGTCTTCTCTACCTACTCATCTTCAACACCATTAGATCACAATAATAAGAGGAGAGAAAAAGGATGAAAGTCAGCTGAGATTGTGACCTAACGATATTGAAAAGAAATAGATAAAGTAGACATGAAAAATGTAGGCATAATACATTGTCCCATCTACCATTAAATGCATGTGATTTTTATTGACTCAGTGGTCTGTTAGCAAACGTCCAATAAGGAGTCTATTAGGAAAATAAGGGTGACAATAGAGAAGTAGAGCCCTAATCTTTAACAGAAGTAACTATTTAGATAGGACAGCTGGTGTTAGCTACCAAACAGCTGCAGTAAGTATTAGACAGTTACATAGAGTGAGGGTGTGCATTGTTTTGGGAAGGAAGATGTTACAACAATGGATTGATTTTAAACACAAATTCACAAATCACAGATAAGAATAGAGCTCTCACAGAACATAAACATGCTTTAACATTCATTAATGGAGCAACACAAGAGGGAGATCCTCATAACAATGAGTAGCCTCCTTTTACTGAATAATTCCATGCTCTTGGACGCAGAATAATAATTGGAATAATTACTAAATAGCGTTGACACTAAAATCCAATCTGTGTATTTAAACAGATATAATAAAAACAGTTTACACATAAATTCAATTCTAAATGCACAACAGAATGCCACTTTTCATTTCTGATGAGTAATGTTACCAAATCCAGGTGTGCTAATTATTGCTACGTACCAAGCAGAAAGTAGGGGGTAGAGCCAAAATTACCTGTAATCGTATGTCAACGGCTCTCCAACTTCTATTGAACGAGCAGCAAATACACCCACACGTGTTTCACCATCAACTTGCCTAGAAGAAATCAAGAAACCACGAATTTAGAGCAGAAATATACAATGATAGTTCCCAGTGAATAGATAAATAGTTTCGTTTGGTAATCTCTGGCAGATTATGCCCAGTTATTCTAGTTATGAAACTTGAATCAATCAACTGCAAAGCAGGAGCTTATCATAAAGGAAATAATATACACAAACCAACAATGTTACTTGTTAAGCGTGATATGAACTGATTCATCAATGCAGCAGGGGTGGGCTTAAAATATAAACTATACTTTTGTTGGGTGGGGGGGAGGGGGGCATGGCTTATAAACTATAACAAATAGCCAAGCTTTACTTCAGTGCCTGAAATAGTTAGATATCACCATCAAGCAAAAATTCTATTTTGGCAGTGCATGTAAAATCAAGAACATAGGGATAAAAAGATTTTATGCATAAGCATTACAAAAAAAACATGTAGAAAGACGTTAAACATAGAACTCACTTATGCAGAAAAAATTGACAGCCTTATTTCCCTTCAAACCTTTTGCTAAAACACAACTATTTCTTACGTTATTATAGGCTGATAAGCCGTTAAATTAAGTTGCACCAAGATACCAAGTCCCTTTCGGGGTTCATTATGTAATGTACTGGTTATGGAATTAATAGAAAGTAAAGAGAAATAAATGAAAAGGATTGTACTTTATTTAGAAAATCTTCCTCTGCTTGCAAGAAGACTCACTATAGATAATATTACAACACTTAAATGAAGAAGATTACAAATTTACAACACTGGTGACAGTTACAAGGTTGATTCTTCTCAACCCCCCTCTCCAGAGGATTCTCTGGCCCACTTCCTTAACAATAAACTCTTGACACACACATAACTGCTTAATTAACTTCCTATTTTATACTCTACCTATTTTATTATTCAGCTACAGAACAGTTACAAATATCATACAGAACCATAACTACCCACTTATTTCCTATTTTATACTCCTATTTATTTTCTTATTCAAATACACAACATTTAAAAATATCCTAACTGTTCCTCTTTTTCTGAACTGTATGTTATTCCTTATCTTCTTGGTCCACATAGTCTGCCCTTTGCTTATTTCTTCTCTTATACGTATGAATTATTGGGGGTTTCTTTACACATTAATCCCGTAATCAAATCCTGCCCAAGTCAAATTCTCCCAGGCTACTTTTAATGCACTTTGGTCAACCTTCCCCCTCCCTAGACTTAGTTTTTTATACCTCCTATGTATTTGGAACCATTAAATTTAATTACGTCCACGGTTTGGTCAGGATAACATTATTTTCCATCTGAGTTTATGTAGCCAACTAGAAAAGTAGTCCTTAATGGCCCTAATGAGTAACAATTGTATCTTCAATCTTCCTTTAGAATTCAGTACCTTACTTGGCCCACAGCTCCTTTTGGTTGGACTATTATTTCTATACATAGGTGTCATATCAAAAGAATCATGTCTAACAAGCATACTTAAGGTCTAAAAACTTTATACCAGTACAGTAAATTAGACTAAGAAATAACACATCAGGGGACCCATAGTCCAAGATGACAACTTTGCTCTTGAGACAAAACCTCATGAAGAGCTTCTTTTGAAGCAAGAAATTGGTAAGTGCAAGGCTTGTTTTATCAAATTCTTTGTAACAAGAAAAAAAAAATGCAGTATTTTACATCTTAAGAAGATGGATACATTATGCTTTTAACAGTATGGAAGCTGGAAGCTGTCAGGAGAGCCTATGAAATGAAACCTAATAATAAAAGTGAGGCGTCCCAGGTCATTTATGTAGAATTCACAAAGAGACATGATAAACTATGAAAAATTTATCATCCAGACCAGACAATGTCAAAGCAATTAAAATTTACAACCATAAATTCAGTATCTGATATCTCGATGGTCTCAAATCATGCATATGAAGCATATCTTACTTGAGTACATCAAGGGGAGTTTACAGTGCATATCAGGAAATACTGTACTCCAATTTCAAAGAGTAATTTGGACCACCAAGAAATTGCATAATTATAGAATCCTTGACGAGTAAAAATATTGCAGCCAGGGACAAGTAGGGAAGAGTTTTTGACACTAACCACTTTTCCAAAACACAGTTGGGATCACAACTATGGTTTAAAAATCGTGATGTATTTCCCTTGAAAGTTGCATCTATTGTAAAGTCTTTCCGAATCTCACACATGTAAAAATTTTGTACACCCATGCGTTTCATTTCCCAAAGCCGTTCTTCACATGAAGCATCATCAATGACTGCAGAAGATAACATTTATGGTTAAATGGAGAAAAAGCGTAGTTTAAATATATAAGTTACAGAAAATATATGACTAAAGATCATATGCCTTTAAAGCATCCTGAATAAATGGCATTTTATATTTCTGAAAGACAAATTAGATTATGGTATAAAAAAAGGGGAGACAAACAATTTTTTGACAGGATAAGGCTTAGAAGTCATTCAGAAATATGAGCTACCTTCTCCAATATACTCAATAATAAATCCACCTTTATCGATTGTTTCAGCGGCCTCTACTCCCCATCCACAAAGTTCAGTCTGAGCAAAAGCAAGAATATATAGTAAGTAATTGATAGCAATAATTTTGGAAATGTAAGCCCAATAAAACATAAACCCAAAAAATACAAACATAAGATGATAAGAAAAATATCATCAATCTTACGGTAGTGAAATTTCACACCTTGACAATCTTGATCTTTTTCTCCTTGCGAAAGGGCCGATTATTGCAACTTTCTGAGCAGCGACAAGCCTTTGAGCAGCTTATGCATTGAACCCTGATAAATGATAATATATGCAATGCTTACTACATGAAGGGCCTTTGAAGCCTTTTAAAAAAGTGTATAGGCATAGGAGGAGAGCTCATGGGACTTGGGGAAATAATAATATGAAGACAGATGCTGGAAAAGGTGAAAAGGGTGAAGAGTTAGTTATAGGAAATGCCAAGTGGCAAGCAGTGAATGGGGAAAAGCATGTGGGAGGTAGTGGAGGTGAGGATTCAGAAAGAAGGAAATGGATCATAAGGTGGTTACGTTGGTGAAAGGGAGGTAGGCAAGAATCATAGGGAGTGAGCCACTGATAGGAGTGTTTCAGTTTGGAGTGGGTATTGGGTCTGTGTTATTTTTCTTAAGCACATTTCGTTTCTTGGCTATAGAGTCTGTTAAGGAATTTTAATCAAGTGTAGTGATTTTACTATTTGTTGCTGTTTAATTGTGTAAGGAGATGAGGCTCTTATTTTCTTGAAGTAATCAAATTACTGGTACAACTAGTATTACAGTGGCAAGGACAAATTACATAACCCTGCTTATGAAATCTTGACGAGTATATGAGTATTACAACAAATTACAGTGGCAAGGACGTATAAGACGTGGTTTGGTACTGGTAGATATTTGGTGTATAACTAAATGTGTACAACTTTAATCCATGGGGAGAAGGTAAACATAGATTTGTGGTCCAGACAAACATTATTTCTCAATATAATTTATTAGCTTAACAGGTGTTGCAGGCAATGGCATCTATATCTCGTTATCCTTCATGTCTATGATCGCCAAATTTCAACCTCTAAAAGCATTGATAAGTTGGATATGCAACAACAAAATTCATTGTCAAGTATAACAAGAAAGCCTACATTATCTACATCTACAAGAAGTTTCATTCAAAATAAATAAATAAATAAGCATTGGAAGATAATTCACATGTACCTGCACACACAACTATCAGAGCACGTAGAACTGCAACTGCACCCTGCCCCATCATCTACATCACTACGCTTCTTCTTCACTATGTATGCATCTGATGCTAATTAAGGCTAGCAACATAATAATCAGCGCAATAATTAACTTGAAAACTACTGATTCTACCAAGAGTAAAAATCAAATTCTTTTACTTAACATTCTAAATGAAATATGCTTATTTAGATTTTATTAAATATAGTAACTGCTTCAGCACAGCACACAAGATGTAGGATACTGCGTCTTATGTGTACATATGGTGGTGGCTCCATCTTACTGTCCATGTCTTTCCAAGTGAAGTCAATCTTAAACTCCTCATTGATAAAGGGAAGAGGCAATCGACAAAATACTTCCTGGAAAAAGGCAGGGTAAGTCAGAAAAATATAGCCATAGATATTAACAAAATTACAAAATTCTAACGCTAATGACCAGTGATATAGCTAATCGAAACAAACAAGGTGCCAGCATATATGATGAGCAATAAAAATGACCAATATACAGAGTCCATGACAATTTGCAGCATTTTAATAATATAAACTCCTTTCTTTCTCAAACACGTTATCCATTATCATCTGATAACAGGTATCCACAAATGCCAAATATACCATGCAAAGTGACAGTAAAGGATTCAAAAATGAGACAGACATATAATATATTCTTCGTAAAACTTACCGAAATGTCACTTGTTAAAGCATCAGGCTGCTCATCCAACAAATACAACAGTCCTGTCAGCCAGCCTAATCAATGAAAAATACCAATAAAGAAATAAAACTTTTAAAAGAAAAATCTAGTCTGGTGAGAAATATTCCACAATTCTATCAATCCAATTAAATGCACTCAAACCCGCATAGAATGAAGTATATTCCAGATTTGACAACTTCTAAGACACTATAAACATCAAATAAATTTGGGGTGTACCTAAGTGGATCCATAAGGAATATATAAGTTATTGTATGACAAGATTGTTGAATCGCAATACGTATTATGTATTGTTTGACTTTTTTTTATATGGTGTGCCATGAATCACATCGAATCCTAAGATTCATAAATATAATAATAAAAATTATCATATAAACCGTATTCTAAGCATTCAATTTCTCTTCCTTTATTTGTATTGTCGCTCTTTGAAAACTTCTATAAGAGACTATTTTCTTGTGCTTAAAGTCTATTTTTTCAGATTTATATCCGTTTTTATTTAAGACCGAAGAGATTTGCATTAATTTGAATATTTGTTTGATTATTTCCCTAATTAATTGTTAATTTCCAGATTCATTTTTGAATTTGAATCACAAACCATATCTCTGTTTTCTTTCCCTAATTAATAGTGACATTTCATTTTTTTTAATTGAAAATCGCAAATCTTGGTTTGATTTTCGAATTGTAAATTGTGATATGATACACGATTCAAAACTGAATCGTATGATACAGCGAGTCACAATCCAATACAGGCAACTGATTCGTATCTCTCAGCTTTTGTATCATGTTTGTATCATGTATCATATGATTCTAACAACTATGTTGTATGCACTATAAAATCTACAAGTTATTCAGAATACCAACATGGTACCACCAAAACTTTACAAACCCAATGATAATTCTTTCCTAATAGCTATTGTATCCTCCCCCAATAGCTATTAGGAAAGAAAATGAAATACAAGAGAAAGAAACCCAAAGAAACAAACAAAAAACTTGAAAACAGCCACACACCAGAGCAACAACAATCAGAGTAGTGAAAAAAATAAAAAAATAATTTAGAAACTAATCAGTGAAAAGGAAGCTAATATTGAACTGGAAACTTGCATATGCTCAGGTGACAAGGAAGGGAAAGAAACAAGAAATCAGATATTCCAAACAGGATAAATAACAGAATTTGAATATACCAGGGAATCTAATGGAAGCACGTATTGCAGTTTGCAGTATAATCAGTAAACATCAACAATAAAAAGTTCTGGTGAAAAGAAAAAATTGACCTTTCTATCCAGGCGCCAATCAGAAGGATGCCTCCAACAAACAACTTGCCCAGGATGATCTTTTATATGCATCACAGCATCTGGCCATGGTGCACATTTATTATGGAATGCTATTGTGCAACGCACACACTTCAAGTGCAGTTTTTGTTTACAAATGAAGCATACCTGCTCATTGAAAGACTTAATATGACTATGGCAAGACAAGGCAGTCAAAACAAAAGGAAAAAAGACTGTATCCAAGACAGCATGTAGAAAAGAAAATCCTAATTAGCAGTGATACAAATCTTAACATTTGGATGTACCAAACGCACTTCCACCGCCAAAAAACACAGACATGAACACACAAAATTTAGGTCATTAATTTAGCAAATGAAGAATATCTAAGAATGCTCGTTATTAATTTGACAAATGAAGCTAACTCAACATTCTCCAGAAATTATGAATACTTAGATGAGATTTGAGAATTGATTTAGAAAGTCTCGCACACATCCATATTTTAGAACAGGGAGAAGATACCATTCGACCCCAAGTTCATCCAGATGACACAAATAAATATAATCTAATATTCCCTCCCTATGTTAAACAACAGTTAATATGAGATGTTAAATTTCCAATTAATCTTCCATAAATTTTACTAGTGGACCGAGGCCATACTAATACCCAAACTGCCCATGAAACACAGTTATGATATGAAGTATATGAGCATTTCGTAGTTGCTAACACATGTGAATCTCACATGTCCCTAGCCAACTCTCATATCGAATCAGTATATTAAGGAAGTGGATATCAATATTCGTAAGAAAACAGAACCAATATTGCATTCAGTATAAACTTACATGCTGTGGACACTTGAATTTCTTCAGATTTGAAACCCCAACGGCTTCTTTTGCACATTCCGTATGGTAGCAGGCGTCACATCCACGAACAGAACATAATAGCTCCTCTCCAGGATAGATAAAATGGTGGCAAAAAGAGCATTCACTCTGAACCCAGACAAATTAAGGGGCAAAAAAAAAAAATTGAGTCAAAGAAATAGAATGAAAATTGGAATCGTGATGTTACTTGAGTCAAAGCTAAGTGCATAAAAACAGTTACAAGCCACTGGTGCTGTTCATTAATTACTAATTTGGAAAATAAACAAGCTTAAAAACTAAATTAAAAAAAAAAAAAAAAAGCCACAAAAAATACCATCTTTGGAGCGCCAACAAGAAAGGGAAGAGAGAAAGGATCCTTGACGCGATCCTCCAAGCCCTTGTCATTGGGTCGGGTCTTGACCCTATCCAAGGAACCGCGGCTCCGCTTCAAAATCCGAGCTTCACTGCCATTATCGGAACCGTAGCCATTGGGTCGGGTTTTGACCGGGGCGGAATCGGTGACATCCGAGGGCTTGATGTTGGAGCAGTGAGAGAGTGCGAGAGTAGCAGAGAGAGATAGGTTTCCCAAATCTGGCATAGTAATTGGCGATGGTGTGAATCTAAAACCCTAGAAAGATATATATATATATAGAGAGAGAGAGAAATCGAAAGAAGAAGAAGAAGAAGAAAAAATGAGCGGGAAAGTGGGGTTTTGTAATTTTCGGGGGTGAAGTGAAAGTACTGACAAGTTTATATTTACGATATTGCCAAATATACATCTTGCGCCGGAAAAATAAGGGGACCGCGGAATTTTGAATTTTGGTGAGGAAAGAGCGTCTTAACAAGTCTTCCAAAAGATGAAGTACTTCATTTACTTAAGAAAAGGTCGAGTACTTCAGAAACCGCAATCAGTCAAGAAAAAAAGTTTCGGCTTTTTATACTTACTAAAATTACAAAAACAAAATATGGGGAAAGTGTTTATAATGTTAAGAGAGAGATACACATAAAAATATATTTTTTTATTTAAAATTTAAATTAAAAAAAAAATCACTCATTTTTTCTCTCATGATTTTATATTTCTTGTGTTTATCTCTCTTTTAAAATGACATAACTTATGTCATTTAAAATGACAAACATCAAACCCAAAAAATATATATAATTTATGTTATATATTCATGGTTTAATATTTTTTATGAATTTTATTTCTTACGTATATATAAAAGTATGTAGAGTTTATGTGGACTCGTGAGGAGAAAAGATAATAAAAGAAAGTATGGGGCCACACACTTTTATGTGTATAGGGATAATTCTTTTTGAATTTCCTCAATCGGTTTATCCTTCGGATTAGTCCGATACAAGCGCTATCGGACCCAAAGCAGGGGCAACTCTCTAAAGATTTTGCATTCTAGAACTCGAACTCGAGACCTCTGATTAAGAGACACAAGTTCCTTATTACCATCAGAAACAATAAACTCATACATTTATTATGGAAAATTATACTCTTATGTTACATGAGATTCATCTCTCATATTGCACTCATATAAAAAGATGTGCCTTTCTTTTTCTTTTTTTAAAAATTGGTGGATCTCACTTTATTTATCTCACAACATAAGATAACTTCTCTTGTATTATTGGTCTAACGTATGAGTCGCGGTTCAATAAGAAATATCTATACAAGGAGTGGCGGATCCAGGAAAAAAAATTTATGGGTGCACATTTAAGGCGGGGGGTTCGGGGGGCAGCGCCTACGAAGTTTTTTTTTTAAGAAAATTTTAAATGTATTAAAAAATATATAAACAAGAAAAGAAAAAAAAAAACTTTAACTTAACATAAAAAAAATAATAATCAAGAGTCAACTAAGCTGTTATAATAGAACGCTCACAAAAGCATTATTCGATTCTTCGTTCCTTGAAAATATTGCATCTTATCTTCATCATCAATCTTCAACTAAGTTTATATTGCATTATGCACGCGGCAGTTCAAGAAAGACTGTGATGATGTGTGCTTATTTTTCACCCACCTCTTTGATTGAAAAAAAAAAAAAAAATCTTCAAATTTTTGTGTCTGCAACAGACACAGTCACCAATGTCCGTCTCTCACTGTATACAAGTCTATATTGAAACCCCGAATATTCATAATATTGTATACTTATATATACTTCATAATATTGTATACAAATTGTAATATGATCTGATACAAATTCGTAAGTAATCAATGATTGGCTACCTTGGTATACAAATTATAATATCGAATATTAGTCTCAAGCGTATTCTTTAAGCTCAGCACTGAAAATATAGTTACAAAATGCTAGCACAATTTCCATATTTGCCATGTCTGATTTGATACTCATTTGTATCACATGCTTATGCTTAAGTTTTTCCTAGCTGTAGTTCAGTTTGCACTGTTTTCAAATCTTATTGTCCTTCACCTCTGTTGTATGTATATTTTCTTTCATGTATCCACTGTATGCCCATAGAAATTAATACCCCAAAAGTAAGTGTGGATATTGCAAAAAGAAAGCCATGGTAGTAACCTAGGTGATCAGGTTGTTGCCTATCCAGCTCTTTATTACGAGTAAAACATTTCATGGAGAGAAAAGGCCATCATCCAAGCTAAACGATTATTATTGTTAACAGTAGTGTAGATATAGATGATGATTAGATAGTTACATTAAGTAGTAAGAGTAGGAGAGAGAATAAAGTACATGATATGGGTACACATACACTATGTAGGGCACGTATAAGAGGAACATTGTAATCTATATAAGTTCATTTATGTAATAACTACTCAGCAAATAAATTCTTAATTGTTTTCCTTGTTTAGCTTCTTTCTATTTCTTCTTTATGCCGCCAAAAGTCACAAACCTAAAAAATTAATGCTTTCATCTCACGACTCAACATGCCTCTTGCGAGTCCAAGAATTGGTTGAAGACGCCTCATGAATTTAACAACAGTTCGACGAAACACAAAATCAACTCGCGTTGATAACTGCTCGAGTCTAACAACTAACAAAGTGCATGGGAGCATGATACGGGCTCCTATACTAAAGTGTACACACGCAAGAGGAATAGGGCACAAGCCCAAACAAGTCAGTTAGCTAAGGAAGAATCAGATACGGGTGCACAACAGAAAACGGTTATGAAGGGAGAGGTGCGCGAAGCATTGGGATAAAAGGGGAGGAATGGGGAGCATGAAAGGCATCTTGGATCTGACTTCTTGGCTGGACTTGGGAGAGACTAGAGCCTCTCCAATCACTCTAGAACTATCCTCATTATTTCTATTTCCTTAGTGTATTGTTCTTCCATTTGGTCACTAAATTAGGATTTCCTTTCCCCTGCAATATGTAATTTGAATCTAAACCTTATGATTGGATCTTTAGTAAATTGTTGTCAATATTATTGCTGGAAATTTGCTTGTCTCTATCAATTGGTATCAGAGCTCCGATCTAGGAGCTCTGTGGATGGTCTTCACGCGCACTATGGAAAATCAAAGGGAAAATATGGAGAAAAGAATGCGAAGCAGCGAGTCAATCCAAAACCAAGTGTTACAACGGTTGGGTGCAACGGAGAGAGAGCAACTGAGATTCTTCGTCAACTGGAGGACTTGGCTAGGCGAATGGCTGGGTTAGGAAACATAGAGAGATCACCCCGGAGGGAAACACATGACGGAGGTAACAATTCAGAAGGATACGTTAGCGTCACGGAGGAATGGAGCATACACCAAGGCGCTTGGAGATCCCCATCTTCTCAGGGGATGATGCGTATGGATGGTTGAATAGAATAGAGAGGTACTTTGTAGTGAATGGAGTCACGGAGGAAGATAAGATGGCCATTGTTTTTGTTGTTCTGGAAGGGGAAGCATTGAAATGGTTCCAATGGTGGGACATTAATACCACCAACGCGGAGTGGGGAATGTTTCGGAGGGAGCTCCTGAGTAGGTTCCAACCAGAGGCGTTAGAGAACCCATATCGTTCTCTGTATATGCTCAAACAGACGGGAACAATAGTTGAGTTTAGGGTTGAATTTGAGAGAGTGGTAGGGGCACTGAGGTTTGAGGATGAAGAGCTGTTGAAAGGGGCTTGGCTCAATGGGGTGGAGGATAGTATACAGGAGGAGCTTCTGATGAATCCCACACTGCGTTTATCGGACATGGTGAAGATGTCCCTGAAAATTGAACAGAGGAACTGGGTATGGGTGGAAGAAGGTGTGGGAATCGCTGGAACGGTGTCGTTTGGAGCTAAGGCCAACGGTCCACGTAGATATGGGTTAGGCCTAAATGAAATTAGGACCAATGGAAATAGGGAGGGGAAAACGGGTGCTAGAGGGGCCCAAGGAGTAGCGATTAACACGGGGAGCCCTAATTCCTTTTCTTCAGATGCGCATAAGGGCATGGGGGCTTTGAAGGTGGCTCCCTCTCTGACAGTGATAAGCAGTCAGGCGACGATAGAGAGCCACGACAGCTCTGGCAGACGCCTCACACAGGCGGAGCTCCAGGAACGTCATAGGAAGGGTCTCTGTTTCATGAGAGATGGAACCCTACCCACCACTGTAGAATCAAGGAATTGCAATTGTTGTTGGTGGAGGAAGACGACGACGTCAACGATGAAGTTAGGGAAGTAGTAGTGACACCCGACGAACCAGGAGGGGAAGAAGTAGCCTTTCATTTGTCTATGCAAGGACTGATGGGGCTCTCTTCAAACCAAGCCATGTGAATGAGGGGCACTATTAACGGCCAGGTTGTGGTCGTACTGGTGGATAGTGGAGCGTCTACGAACTTCGTGGCTCATAACAAGGTTCAACTGTTGGGGTTAGAGGTTGAAGCCACGAAGAAATTTCAAGTTTAGGTTGGGGATGGTCATCGGGTATCTTGCGACGAAGTCTGCAAGAACGTTAGGGTACATCTTCAGGGTGTGGATATAGTCCAGATTTTTATGTGTTTGAGCTGGGAGGTATAGACTTGGTGTTAGGTTGGGATTGGATGGCAGATCTGGGGGAAATTTGTGCGAACTTCAAACACATAACGCTTACGTTTGGAGCACCAGGGTGGGAGGTCACTCTAAAGGGGGAACCTGCATTGGTTAGGGAGGAGGCATCGTTTCATTCTCTGATGAAAGCACTAAAGGATGATGGCGAAGGTTACCTGTTGACCAGGGAAGCTCAAATGGGCCAGTCAGCTCAGGATTGGCCAGCTTTGCAACAGTTAATCCACGGGTATAGAGAAGTATTCAAGAGCCAAAAGGGTTACCACCAAAAAGAGTGCAGGATCATGCAATCAACTTGAAGGCTGGAAGTGAGGTTCCTGTTTGCCGTCCTTTCAGGTATCCTCATCACCAAAAAAATGAAATAGAAAAAATTGTAGCTGAGCTGTTAAACAATGGGATGATCCGACAAAGTATTAGCCCTTATGCAAGCCCTGTCATTTTAATAAAAAAAAAAATGGTAGCTGGAGGGTCTGTGTAGATTACAGAGCCCTCAACCGGATGATAATTCTGGATAAATTTCCTATGCCTATAATAGAAGAGCTGTTGGATGAACTTGGGGAATCCAGGGTCTTTCAAAATTGGACCTTAAATCTGGGTACCACCAAATACGTATGAGGG